GACTCTTACTTCAGGTGAGTTCAGGTAAGAGCCAATTGTGTGCATCTCTTTCACAGTTCCAGTTCAGTGACCTTTTGCATTGTTACCTTGAAATTAGCCATAGTGGAAGTGTTTAACTACAGAAATTGGCAAATGCTACAAACTGGAGCTTTCCACTAGTTGAGCAGATTATTAAACGTTTACTAGCACAGCACTGCCTGCAGCTCCCTGATACACTTTCCGGGGATCTGCATGGTCAAAACTATTTTCATAATAGTACTGACATCATTTGCCATTTTTACTCTTCTTTTACAAATGCACAGAGGTGTTTTCCTGAACAGACTGAATGTAGGAGCAGACATGAGAATCCAGCTATCTTCTATTAAGCAAGACATTAAAGAGATGTGCAAACATGTAAAATGGTGGCACTCTTCTCACTAATTCTTTTGTTTTGGAAAATGGTTATTTTTCATAAAAATATTATTTGTATTAACATATAATTGGCTTATTATCTTGAAGTAAATACTTTTTTAATTCCTCAATTTGACTCTCAAGTATGGCAAATATGAATAGATATAATTTGCATAAACAAAAACTCTTAGGGATCTTCCATTAAAAAAAGACAAAATTTTATTTTAGAGCAGTTTTAGGTTCACAGCAAAATTGAATGAAAGTCTGTTTATCCATTCTTTCTTTCATGGATTGTGCCTTTGGTGTTGTACCTAAAAAGTCATTGTCAAACTCAAGATCATCTAGATTTTGTCCTATGTTATCTAGTAGGAGTTGTAGGTTTTGCATTTTACTTTCATATCTGTGATCCATTCTGAGTTAATTTTTGTGAAGGTGTCAGGTCTGTGTCTAGCTTCATTTTCTGATATGGATGTCTAGTTGTCCCAGCACCATTTGTTGAAAAGACTGTCTTTGCATCATTGTTTTGCCTTTGTCCTTTTGCCAAGGGTCAGTTGACTGTATTTATGTGGGTCTATTTCTGGGCTCTTTATTCTGTTCCATGGATCTATTTGCCTGTTCTTTTGACAGTATTCCACTGTCTTGATTACTGTAGCTTTATAATAAGTTTTGAAGTTGGGTAGTATCTTTCATCTTCAGTATTGTGCTCTTGTGTTGGATCTTTGGCTCCTCAAGTTTTAAGAGTGTTATCTCAGACCAGGTGCTGTGGCTCATACCTGTAGTAATCCTATTGCTTTACTGAGCTGAAAGGATTGCTTGTGGCCAGGAGTTCAAGACCAGCCTGGGCAACATAGTAAGACCCTTGTCTCTAAAAAAATAAAAATAAAAAAAGTTAGCCAGGTGTGGTGGCACACACCTGTAGTCCTAACTACTGGGGAGGTTTAGGTGGAAGGATCACTTGAGCCCAGGAGTTGGAGGTTACAGTGAGCCATGATTATACCACTGCCCTCTAGCCTGGGCTACAGAGTGAGACCCTGTCTCTGAAAAAAAAAAAAGAAGAGTGTTATCTTAGTGCTGCCATCACAAAATACCTCAGATGGGTAATTTATAAAGAACAAAATGTATTTCTCACAGTTCTGAAGGCTGGGAAGTCCACAATCAAGACACCAGCAGATTCTGTGTCTGGTGAGGGCTCACTTTCTGCTTCCAAGATAACAGCTTATTGCTGCATCCTCCAGAGGAGATGAACACTGTTCTCACGTGGGGAAAGGTGGAAGGGCAAAAGAACCTAGCTAGTTCCTTTGAGCCCATTTTAAGGTCACTGGTCCCATCCATGGATACACAGCCCTCATGACTTAATCACCTCATAAAGGTCCCACCTCTCAATACTATGACACTGGACCTTAGGTTTCAACATATGAATTCTAGGGGGGACACATACATTCAAATCATAGGGGGTCCTGAGACCAAAAAGCTGGAGAACTACTGTTGTGGCAAAAAATGGACATACACACAGATGCGTTCCATAGATTCTTGTGTTAGGAAGAGTGTAGCGTGTAGTGGAGGGGAACCTGAACTGAGTTTTGTACTGCCTCATTCTGGGGACTGAATGAGCCTGTTGCTTTAGGTACATCTCTGAGAGTCCAAATTTAGATGCTGTGTGACAGACTTGGGCCTGGCCTCAGAAGAGAATCTCAGAGGGACATAGAATATGACATCAGGGCACAGGATGTGAAGTGCCAACCTCCCCAGGAACGAGGGAACACAAAGCAGAGTAAGGAAGTTTGAAAGTGGTTCTTCGAGTTCTCTGAGAGAAAGGTGCGTCTTGGTTATTAGGGCTGTGCATGTAAATAAAATGTTTTGCCTCTTCATCTTCAGAATTAAAACTTTTGTTAAATCCCAAGAATCAGCCATGTTACAGGAGGGAACATTTGTATCTTACACTGCTTACCTACCACCCTTGAAATTTTGCAGGAAACACTAGGGAAAAGGTGGAGCTTTGGTCTCAAACCCCCGACTTTTTATTTATTTATTTATTTTTGAGACAGGGTCTCTTGCCCTGTCACCCAGACTGGAGTGCAGTGGCATAATCATGACTCAGTGCAGCCTCTACCTCCCAGGCTCAAGTGATCCCACCTGCCTCAGTCTCCCAAGTAGCTTGTGCAAAGGCCCGGTGGCATAAAGTGTGGTGTATTAGAAGAACGAAAAAAAAGCCTGTGTGGCTGGAGTACAGAAAGCCAGGGAAGAGAGGTCCAGGATGCTGCTGGATTGGGGAGGATACAATCTTGAGCCTGCTTAGCATTGTCGACTTTCTCTCAGAGCCCTGAGAAGCCACTAAAAGATGAAGGGAGATAACCTTACATTGTACTTGGCATTTTGAAAGTCTCATCCTGGCTCTAGTATGGAGAGTAGATTGGAGAAGAAAGCAATGAATGAACTCGTATTTAGTTCAGGTGAGAAATGATGTGGCTTGGTACTTGTCTTAGCTTGGGCTGCTATAAGAAAGCACCATAGACTGGGTAGCTTATAAACTACAGAGGTTTCTGACGGTTCTGGAAGCTGAAAGCCCAAGATCAGGGTGCCAGTGTGGTTGGGTTCTGATGAGGTCCCTGTTCCGGGCTGCAGACTTAACTGCTGTATCATCACATGGCAGCAAGAGGGCCAGGGACGTCTCTGGCATCTTTAGAGAGGAGGTCTCGACATGTTGCCTGGGCTAGACTTGAACTCCTGGGTTCAAGCCATCTTCCTACCTCAGCCTCCTGAGTAACTGGGACTACAGGTGTGCACCATCATTCCCGGCTCTCTCTTGTCTCTTTTTTTTTTTTTTTTTGAAACGGAGTCTTGCTCTGATGCCCAGGCTGGAGTGCAGTGGCACGATCTCGGTTCACTGAAATCTCTGCCCCCTGGGTTCACGCCGTTCTCCTGCCTCAGCCTCCCAGGTAGCTGGGACCACAGGCATCCACCACTGCGCCTGCCTAATTTTTTGTATTTTTAGTAGAGACGGGGTTTCACCGCATTAGCCAGGATGGTCTCTATCTCTTGACCTCATGAGCCGCCTGCCTTGGCCTCCCAAAGTGTTGGGATTACAGGCGTGAGCCTCCACGCCCAGCCTTCCCTGGCCTCTTCTTATAAGGGCACTAATCCCATTCATGAGGTCTCCAATCTCATGATTTCGTTACCTGCCAAATACACACCTCCTAATACTGTCACATTGGGGGTTAGAATTTCCACATATGAGTTTTGGGGGGAATACAAACATTCAATCTACTGCAATGGCAGTGATAGATACTCTGAGTAATATATTTGTGTGCAAGAAGTCATTGGCAAACTCAAGATCATCTAGATTTTATCCTATGTTACCTTGTAGGAGTTTTATAGCTTTGCATTTTATGTTTGTGTCTGTGATCCATTCTGAGTTAATTTTTGTGAAGGGTGTCAGGTCTGTGTCTAGCTTCGTTTTCTGATGTGGATGTCCAGTTGTCCCAGCACCATTTATTGAAAAGACTTATCTTTGCATCATTGTTTTGCCTTTGCTCCTTTATCAAAGGTCAGTTGACTGTATTTATGTGGGTCTATTTCTGGGTTCTCTATTCTGTTCCCTGGATCTATTTGTCTATTCTGTTGATAGTACTACACTGTCTTGATTACCGTAGCTCTATAATAAGTTTTGAAGTTGAGTAGTGTCAGTCCTCCAGCTTTGTTCTTCTCCTTCAATATTGTGTTGCTGTGTTGGGTCTTCAGCTCCACAGGTTTTAAGAGTGTTATCTTAGGCTAGGTGCAGTGGATTACCCAGCACTTTGGGAGCCTGAGCCGCAAAGATCACTTGTGTCCAGGAGCTCAAGACCAGCCTGGGCAACATAGCGAGACCCTGTCTGTATTAGTCCATTTTCATGCTGCTTATAAAGACATACCCAAGACTGGGCAATTTATAAAAAAGAGAGGTTTAATGGACTTACAGTTCCACGGGGCTGCAGATGCCTCACAATCATGGCAGAAGGCAAGGAGGAGCCAGTCATGTCTTACATGGATGGCAGCAGGCAAAATGAGAGAGAGAGAGCTTATGCAGGGAAACTCCACCTTATAAAGTCATCAGATCTCATGAGACTTATGCACACAAGAACAGCATGGGAAAGACCATGATTCAATTACCTGGGTCCCTCCCACAACATGTGTGAATTTAAGAGAAGTCTTGGATGGGGACACAGCCAAACCATGTCACTGTTTCTAAAAAAAAAAAAAAAAAAAGAATTCTTTTTTTTTTTTTTTTAATTGGCCAGGTGTGGTGGTGTGTGCCTGTAGTGCCTGTAGTCCCAGCTACTGGGGAGGGATCAGTTGAGCCCAGGAGTTGGAGATTACAGTGAGCCATGATCACACCACTGGCCTCCAGCTAGAAGTCATCTGGTCCAGCCTGTAACCTGAGCACCCCAAAGACATTGTACCTTTGCCAGAGACCCCTGGTGGCAGGAGGTTGTCACTGTTGTTTCAGAGTGACAACAGATGACCATGTGAATGATGTACATTAATTATGAGACAAATAACCAAAGCACCTGATGGCTGTAGTTGTTTCAGTGTTTGCACACTTAATTTTCCTTCTTCTCCCCTGACCCCTGCAGAATGGCTTATTCAGAAGAACATAGAGGTATGCCCTGTGGTTTCATCCGCCAGAATTCCGGCAACTCCATTTCCTTGGACTTCGAGCCCAATATAGAGTACCAGTTTGTGGAGCGGTTGGAAGAGCGCTACAAATGTGCCTTCTGCCGCTCGGTGCTTCACAACCCCCACCAGACAGGATGTGGGCACCGCTTCTGCCAGCACTGCATCCTGTCCCTGAGGTGAGTGGGCAGGGCCTGCAACTCTGGCCATGGCAGGCCCAGCATCCAGGTGGCAACTGTGGCCACTCAACTGTTTTCATGGGTTTTGGAGTTGCTTAACTTGGCCACAGGACCATGACTATAAGGAAGGACTCTCCCAGATCCCTTCTGTGAGGGCCTGAAGAATAATCATTTTTTGGTCACTAATTTACAGATATTCACCTTTTCTTAAAATTCAGACTGCACCTGCTTTGCATGGGAGAGCAGACCTAGACACACACTCCATCATGGGAGCTGGCTGTGGAGAAGGGTTTGAATCTCACAATGTCTGTGTTGTAGTTACCCCAATCTTCCCTTGCCTTGAGGAAGAGGTGCTGTGGCTCCTAGAAGGGACCTTGCTGCCATGGATGCTGTCCACTCCTGGGCAGCTGTAAGACCTGGGTCATGCTGTGTTGAGGGAGGAGACCAGGAGAGATGTGGAAGCAGGCACATTTTGGGGGGTTATATAGGAAGCAAGGCAGTCATTTTACCCTGCCAAGCTTTGAAAGGGGGTTATTACAGTGCATCCTCATTCCCTCATGTGTTCGTGCATTCAGCACCTGTGTGTTCTGTGCTCTCATGCTGAAGAGCCACAGCGTGGAACAGGACCCCGTGTCTGCCCTCTAGAATGTCCCAGTCTAGAGACAAATGTGGCACAGTGTGATAAAGGATGGGGACTTTTAGCTCTGTCCAGGGACTCACTGACTGCATCCTGGAGGATGCATGAAGTTTTTCAGGCAAACTGAAAGACTAGGAAGGTGCTGAAGGATGGGTGCAGAAGGCACCTTCTAGGTAGAGGGAATAGCATGTGCAGACAGGGACCAGCCTGCCCAGGGCTAGAGCATGACTGGAGCCCTGGGGCTGGTCTTGGAAATGCTGTTGAGGTAAACAACTAACTCTGACTCTATTTTAATTTTTTTCTGCAGAGAATTAAACACAGTGCCAATCTGCCCTGTAGACAAAGAGGTCATCAAATCTCAGGAGGTAAGAAAGTCACTGCTTTAGTCTAGCAGCTCTCAGGGTGATGGAGAAGAAGTCAATGAATTGGACATTGAGATTGGAGCAAGAGAGTGGTCGAGGGAGACCTTCCTTGAAGTCCATATTCTTCTGCTGTGGAGTCACATCAGACCCTACTCGTAGCCCTGTCTGAGGGGCTTGTTTGGATCTTTATTGACCACACCCCTCCTCCACCCCAAGTCTCCTCTCCTGCTGCTGCTTTATCCCCTTCCTATACTAGCTCTAGCTAATATATTATGGTTTTGATTTGCATTTTCCTGTTGGCTAATGAAGTTGAACATTTTTTCATGTGCTTATTAGCTATTTGTACATCTTCTTTGTTAAAAATGCCTACTTATTTTCTTTGCTCATTAAAAAAAATTGAGTTATTTACCTTTTGTTGAATTATAAGAGTTATTTATAACCTGTAATCCTAGCACTTTGGGAGACTGAGGTAGGCAGATCACATGAGGCCAGGAGTTTGAGACCAGCTTGACCAACATGGCGAAACCCCGTCTCTACTGAAAATACAAAAATTAGCTGGGTGTGGTAGTGCACATCTGTAATCCCAGCTACTTGGGGGGCCAAGGCACAAGAATTGCTTGAACCCAGGAGTTGGAGGTTGCAGTGAGCTGAGATCATGCCACTGCACTCCAGCCTGGGTGACAGAGCAAGACTCTGTCTCAAAAAAAAAAAAAAAAAGGCCAGGCGCGGTGGCTCAAGCCTGTAATCCCAGCACTTTGGGAGGCCGAGACGGGCGGATCACGAGGTCAGGAGATCGAGACCATCCTGGCTAACACCGTGAAACCCCATCTCTACTAAAAATACAAAAAACTAGCCGGGCGAGGTGGCGGGCGCCTGTAGTCCCAGCTACTCCGGAGGCTGAGGCAGGAGAATGGCCTAAACCCGGGAGGCGGAGCTTGCAGTGAGCTGAGATCCGGCCACTGCACTCCAGCCCGGGCTACAGAGCAAGACTCCGTCTCAAAAAAAAAAAAAGTTCTTTATATATTCTGGATCTAAATCTCTTAGCAGCCGTTTGGCTGCTAAGATTTGCAAGTATTTTTCTTCCATTCTGTGGGTTGTCCTTTCCCTTTCTTGACAGTGTGTTTGAAGCACAAAATTTTTTCATTTTGATGAAGTCTAATTCATTTGTTTTTTTTTCTTTTTTTGGCTGCTTGTTCTTTTTTGGTGTTGTATCTAAGAAACCATTGTCTGTTCCATTGTCATGAAGGTTTTCTCCCTTAAAACTCCCCTTTAAGGTCAGTTTTCTTCCTTTAAGATTCTGTTGCAGGATGTTCAAGCAGAAGCTTTCCTTGAGCCTCTAGTCTGCTGTACTTGCGTCTTCTCTATACCCCTTATGATGTGTTTTGCAAATACCTACAACGGGGCTGTGCTGCAGTTAGTGTCTGTCTGACCTACTGTCCAGGGGTTGGCATACTACAGTCTTGGGGCAAATCCAGCCTGCCACCTGTTTTTGTATGGCCTGTAAGCTAAGAAATTCTTTTTACATAATGGTGGGTGCATAGAAACCCTCATATTTTTGCAACTTCTTGTGAGTCTTAAACTACTTCAAAATAAAAATTCATTTTAAATAATCAAAAGAAGAAAGTATTGTGACATGTAGAAATTATGTGAAGTTCAAATTTCAGTGTTCCTAAATAGTGTTCTATTGGAATGTAGCTGTGCCCATTCATTTAAATATTGTGTATGGAAGCGTTGAAATGTGGCAACAGAGACGATTGTGATGTGGACTATCTGACCCCTTACAGAGAAAGTTTGCCGATTCCTGGTTTGTGCTAAAATAGCAAGCCAGCACAGCCTCAGTGACACTGTCTGATGAGTAATACATTTACCCTGGGACTGGAAGCTGAAAGCATCACTCTTGACCAAACTTTACCTCCTGACGTTTAAGAATGTGGGATCAGGTTCACCATAAGATTCACCTAGCTGCAGCCTGTTGCACAGGGCATTGTTACCTGGCTTATATGTTTGATGGTTTGTCAAAAGCATATATCTGAGACAGCCTTTTCTTTCAGTGTGGTGTAAGTGTGATATTTTCATTCCAGCTGGTGCCTGGAAGTTTCCACCTGCCTTCTGAGATATACTTGAAGACCAAATTAATAATAGCTTAATTCACATTGCTGTAAAACTTTGGAGTGTCTGAGACCTATTATGTTTATCTTTTAGGTTTTTAAAGACAATTGCTGCAAAAGAGAAGTCCTCAACTTGTATGTATATTGCAGCAATGCTCCTGGATGTAATGCCAAGGTTATTCTGGGCCGGTACCAGGTTGGTATTATTCATGAACAGTATCTGCCTTTGCCATTTTTCCAGGGATATGTATTGAACCCCTTTATGTGACAGTTACTGAGCTAAGCATGGTACAGGGATTCAGTCAATTGCCCTCAAGGATTCCCAGTCTAGCAATACAGGTGGCTACAGTGCTGTAGCCCACCTAGGGCTGAGGTGTGAGTGAAGAGGTTCGTCCTGTATGGAGCGCATGGAGAACATCTTATATCCACTAGACCTTAATTGTGTGATAGGGATCACTGAGCCAGAAGAGAGGGTGTGGGACATGCTGGACAAAACAAACACTCAAGAATATATTATTTTGGGGGAACTGTGTGGGACCCAGGGCATGACTACAGAAAGACACAATTGTGAGGTCCTTCCCCGAAAGCATTTGCTCTCTCACTTGGTGCTGTCTAGGTGTTTCCCAGCAACTGTGGGACCTGGCCTCATGGGGTTTATGATCTAACACAGATCACTCAGACCAGGACAGAGACAGGCTGTGGGTTAAAGGTAAAGCATTGATAGGAGAGACAAACCAACAAGTTGTAGGGGAAATGTAAGTGAAGGGGAATTGAGTGCCTTTCAAATGAAGTAACCCCAACTGCTCTTCCCTCCAGCTAGGGAAGGTGGTTAAATGGGAAGCTGGAAGTGTGGTACTGCCTGGCAAGCCCATGTCAAGTTTGATCACACTGCATGTGAACATGCCTCAGGCTTCTCTAACTTCCAGGGAATTGCTGAGAGGCTGCTGAAATTTCCCCTGCACACCCACACATTTTGGAACACATATTTCAGATGATTCAGTCTTTTCTCTATCACACCTCCCAATCCCTCAGGCACTGAGCTTATAAATGTGTAAATGATTTCCTTGTTAACCCAGGGATTTATTTGGAGGTTCATAGACTGTTTGTTATGTGTTATGTTTTCATGTGTCCTTTGCCTCTTGTTTGAATAGTCAAGTCCTAGAGCAAGGCCTTTTTTCCAACTTTGTTGTCACTAAGCCTAAAAAGTAAATGAGGCTCAAATGGACCATTGAACAGCTTTAGTGACCAAAACTGGCTTGTGGAGAGCAGGGGCTGGTTACTCTCCACCTGTTTCTTTTATATTTCCCCTCATTCCTTGTTTCCCACCCACCCCCTTGTGTGGTAAGGTGTAGAATCTTACAGGTCACAGAGTTTCGATGAATATTGACTGGGTGAGGGTTGAGGAGTAATATCAACCAATTTTGGAGAAGAGATGGATTCTAACTGTGATCACCATGTGATTCTTACTACCAGAGGTGAAGGAGAATAGCTGTATTTGTTTATCTCACTGTCAAAAAACTGTTTGATTTTCTTCTGAGAAGGGGTCAGTGAATGTTAAGAGTCAAACAATAATAATAATAATAAAGACCCAGATAGTAACTATTTTAGGCTTTGCAGGCCATACAGTCTCTGTCACAATTACTCAGCTCTCCCGTTTGAGAGGGAAAGCAGCTCTAGACAATATGTGAAGGAATAGGTGTGGCTCCTCTCCAATAAAACTTTAATTATAAAAACAAGTAGCAGGCTGGATTTGGCCTGTGAGTCTTAGCTTGCCAATTTTGTCTTAAAGGACCCTCAGAGGGACAAATTCTCTAACATTTTGGTAACTTGCCAGCATGACAATAACTGCAGTGATTCAAAGGTTTTCACTGAGATATGCCTGCTTTTTAACATCTAGAATGTTGGCCAGGCATGGTGGCTCACGACTGTAATACCAGCACTTTGGGAGGCCAAGGCGGGCCAGTCACCAGAGCTCAGGAGTTTGAGACCAGCCTGGCCAACATGGCAAAACCCTGTCTCTACCAAAAATACAAAAATTAGACGGGCATGGTGGCTGGCACCTGTAATCCCAGCTACTCGGGAGCCTGAGGCAGGAGACTTGCTTGAAACCTGGGAGGTGGAGGTTGCAGTGAGCCGAGATGGTGCCACTGCTCTTCAGCCTAGGTGACAGAGCAAGACTCTGTCTAAAAAAAAAAAAAAAAAGAGAAAAAAAAAACTAGAATGTCCAGCCTGGCCAACATGGTGAAACCCTGTCTCTACTAAAAATACAAAAATTAGCTGGGTGTGGTGCAGACCTGTAATCCCAGCTACTCTGGAAGCTGAGGCACAAGGAACGCTTCAACCTAGGAGGTGGAGGTTGCAGTGAACGGAGATCGTGCCACTTCACTCCAGCCTGGGTGACAGAGAGAGACCCTGACTCAAAAGTAAAATAAAATAAAATAATGTAATATAAAAATAAAAATAAAATAGAATGTGAAGAATCCTGGAGTGAACACTGTCCATGTCATCATTCTCTATGATGATTAAATTAAATCATTTAATATTAAATATTAAATAGTATATATAATGTTATATATTATATTGCATATAATATATTAAATATATATATTATTTATAATGTATTAAATATATTTACATGTAAATAATGTTTATATTTAATAATGTTAAATAACATTAGAGAATATTTAAAATAACTTTTAAAATAAAATTAGAGAATATTTAAAATAAAATTTAAATAACTTACTATTTGTGACAGAGTCTTTGTCACCTAGGCTGGAGTGTAGTGGGACAATCATAGCTCACTGCAGCCTCAAACTTCTGGACTCAACTGATCCTCCCACCTCAGCCTCCTGTGTAGTTGGGACCTCAGGTGCACACTGCAACACTTGGCTAACTAAAAAAAATTTTTTTGTGTGGAAACAAGGTCTTGGGGTCATACTGGACTTGAGTCCTGGCCTCAAGTGATCCTCCCATCTCAGCCTCCCAAAGTTCTGGGATTAAGAGCATGAGCCACCACATGTGGCCAATAAAGTATTATTAATTATTAAAAATTTTCCTGATTTTACCAGTCTGACCATTCCTAGCTTCTCTTGGGCCTGCAAACCTGTATTTCCTCTGCCTCCTTTATCATTTCTGGAATAGCTTCCTCTGCCTTATTTTCGTCTTCTTACTCCTTTCCCTTTCTTCCTTGAGTTAGGATATGCCCTTCTCTCCTTTTTTCTTTTTCCTGTGTCCTTTTACCATCTGCTGTGCAGAGACCCATACTTGATGCTGGGGGTTGGTATGAAGAGTCCACACACAAAAAAAAATGTCCTTGAAGAACTGGTAAATTAAGGAAAATATCCAAGAACTAACCTGAGAATATGAGCACGTTATTAGATCATCTAAAACAAACTTGGTGTACTTCCCTCCTCACCCATCTTCCCCTGTCCTCTGAATTCCCCCCAAGACTGGCTTTCCCATCTCTGGTACAAGCATCCCTCCCCATGCCCTCTCCTCAAGAGAGGCAGTGGGCAGCATCCCCTGAGAGCCTACCCTCTGCCTTGCCCTGTGCAAGCCTTTCTGCCCAGCTGCCCACCCTGTTCTCTCTCCCTCCCTGGGCCTTCCAGCTGACTTCCCTCCTACCACACTGGTCAGCAGGTCCCACTGGCCTGTTGTTATCTGTTGCAGGATCACCTTCAGCAGTGCTTATTTCAAGCTGTGCAGTGTTCTAATGAGAACTGCCAGGAACCAGTCCTACGGAAAGACCTGAAAGAGCATTTGAGTGCATACTGTCAGTTTCGAGAGGAAAAATGCCTTTATTGCAAAAAGGATGTGGTAGTCATCAATCTACAGGTAAAAAACAACACACACAACAGTCATCTTTATGGAGCTAAATTATGCCTGACTGGTCACAGTGAATCAGGTGGAATGCCAGAAGAACATTCCTGCATTTATTTTTGTACAGAATTAGTCTAAAGAATTTGCTTTTTGGAGAGAAGTTCTGTGAAAAGCTTAAAACCTTCTTGTTGGTAGCACTGTCTTCATTTATTATTGGCAAAAATGTTATTTGAACACATGCTGTGTATGTGTAAGGAATGCTGGGCGCTGAGTCACAAGGAGGTGAAGATAATGTCTACGTTCTGAATTCTGCAGTGTAGCTGGGGAGGCAGGATGTAGGCATAAAAAGAAAGCATGGGTACCTTTTACATGTCCCGAAGGAGCTATGCTGGCAGTTCCCCAATCTACCTTCTTTGAGTCCTGTGCTCTATGACTTTCTTTTGAAATAATTGGAAAATTTAATATTTTAATTAAGTTCATTTATACCTAGAAAGTGGACATCTTTAATCCTTTTTTGGAACTAGGCAATTACTTCCTGTAGAGAGTAAGCCACATGACATATATCCCCAAAGAGACACAGGTGTAATCACTGTGAGGCCATGAAAGATAACCCTTGGCTTTGTTTTATTATACTTTGTCTGTTTCAGAATCATGAGGAAAACTTGTGTCCTGAATACCCAGTATTTTGTCCCAACAATTGTGCGAAGATTATTCTAAAAACTGAGGTAACTGCAAATAATCCTCTCTGTAGATTTTATGGAAGATGAAGTTTTAGTAATCATTGTGGTCTGTGTTTGATAAAATCCCAAATATAAGGGCCCAGGGCTTAAATTACACTCATGACCATGACATATCTGCCTTCCCTTCTCTTTTTCTGCAAACTCTCTTCAGTTTTCGTCACAGCTCTTTCTTGCCAGGCCTCTCTCCTTCTCCTGGTCCTTGCCTTCTTCCCAAGCCACCCTTGGCTCCCTGATTGCTGCAGTTGGAAAATAAGTGATGAATTTCTATAGCTTGTGACTCTGCATTTCGTAGGTGGATGAACACCTGGCTGTATGTCCTGAAGCTGAGCAAGACTGTCCTTTTAAGCACTATGGCTGTGCTGTAACGGTATGGAATGACTTTTTGTTTCTGCCTATACATTCTACTGTATAATTTGCTTGGCAAGTTCAGTTTACTCTCTGTTCCATCGAGGATGGAGAATTACAGTTCTGAGAAATCTAAGGCTAATTATTTTAGAGTTCTCCAGAGAAACAGAACCAATGGGGGTATACACATATATAGAGATTTGTTTTAAGAAGTTGACTCTTGCAGTTGTGGGGGCTAGCAAGTCCAAAATCTGCAGGGAAGCTCAGCAATCTGGAAACTCTGGCTATCTGGAGTTTCTATGCTGCAGTTTTGAGGAGAAGCATTTTTTCTTCAGGAAACCGTAGTGTTTGCTCTGAAGGCCTTCAAATGATTGGATAAGGCCCATCACACTATAGAGGGTAATCTGCTTACTTCAGGTCTACCAATTGTTCTCACCACATCTATGAAATACCTTCACAGCAACATATAGACTTGTTTTGAGCAAACAACTGGGCACCTTAGCCTAGCCAGGTTGACACATAAAATTAACGATCACAATAATTATTTCTTTGTTCTTTTTGTTTTCCTTGAGACAGAGTCTCACTGTGTCACCCAGGCTAGAGTGCAGTGGCGCAATCTCGGCTCACTACAACCTCTACATCCTGGGTTCAAGCAATTCTCCTGCCTCAGCCTCCTGAGTGGCTGGGATTACAGGCACCCTTCACCATGCCTGGCTAATTTTTGTATTTTTGTTAGAGACAGGGTTTCACCACGTTGGCCAGGCTGGTCTTGAACTCCAGACCTCAGGCGATCCACCTGCCTTGGCCTCCCAAAGTGCTGGGATTACAGCACCGTGCCTGGCCCACAGTAATTGTTTCTAATTCTGATTCCATTGCCTCCACCTGGTTTGGGAACCTTCTGGGGTTACTCCTCTCATGATTACAAATCCTGGTTTTATGGTGATATACCCTTGTATGTTACCAAGTATACTGAAAAAAAATGGACTTAAAATCGTGTTTTAATATGTATGTTATTACCTTTTAAATACTTGAAAATAATACTCAATGAATTATACAAAATAAAATAAAATAAAAATTGATTTCTATTTCAGTCTTTTTAGTAAATTCCAGATGGAGCAGAGTTTTAGGTATTAAAATATGTCATGCTCTGTATTATCATTCTGTATTTTCTATAAATCTAAAATTATTCCGAAATAGAAAGTTTACTTCAGAAATCATGAAAATACTAGAAGGAAAGATGAGTGATTTTTTTTTTTTTTTTTTTTTTTTGAGACGGAGTCTCGCTCTGTTGCCCAGGCTGGAGTGCAGTGGTGGGATCTTGGCTCACTGCAAGCTCCACCTCCTGGGTTCATGCCATTCTCCTGCCTCAGCCTCCTGAGTAGCTGGGACTATAGGCACCCGCTACCATGCCCGGCTAATTTTTTGTATTTTTAGTAGAGACGGGATTTCACCGTGTTAGCCAGGATGGTCTCGATCTCCTGACCTTGTGATCCGCCCGCCTCAGCCTCCCAAAGTGCTGGGATTACAGGTGTGAGCCACCGTGCCTGGCTGGCCTCAGCCTCCCAAAGTGCTGGGATTACAGGTGTGAGCCACCGTGCCTGGCTGAATTTTTTTATTCTTAAAGAGGCTGGTGCGGTGGCTCATACCTGTAATCCCAGCATTTTGGGAGGCTGAGGTGGGTGGATCATTTGAGGTCAGGAGTTCAAGACCAGCCTGGCCAACATGGTGAAACCCTGCCTCTAACAAAAATACAAAAATTAGCTGAGTGTGGTGGTACACACCTGTAATCCCAGCTACTCGGGAGGCTGAGGTATGAGAATTGCTTGAACCCGGGAGGCTGAGGTTGCAGTGAGCTGAGGTCACGCCACTGCACTCCAGCCTGGGTGATAGAGCGAGACTCTGTCTCCAAACAAACAACGCCCCCGCCCCGCAACAACAACAAAAGCCCTTTCTTAAATGACTAACATAAAACCAGAAGCCATAATTTTGATAAACTTATAAATATTTAAAACTTCTATATGATTTTTTAAAGTACCATAAATAAAGTCAAACAGCAAACAATGAACTGGAGGGAAAAGTTTGCAACATATGATCAGACAAAAAAAAAAGCGGGGGGCTATTTTCCTTTATATACAAAGAAACCTTTAGTGTTAATAACTTACTCAACTTAATGGAAAAATAGGCAAAGAAATACAGTATATAGGCAGTTCCAGAAAAAAATTCATTTGACTGATAAATGTAAGAAAAGATGCTCATTTCACTCCTAAATAAATGTACATTATAACAAGAAATATAATTTTACCTAATGTCATCAAATTGACAAAGATTAAAACATCTTATGATATCTCACTTTTTTTTTTTTTTTTTTTTTTTTTTTTTTTTTTTTTTTTTTTTTTTTTTTTTTTTTTTTTTTTTTTTTTTTTTTTTTTTTTTTTCACTTTTTTTTAGGGTGATTTGGTTATATCTATGAAAATAAAAAAATGAATCCATACATTGTGCATTTCTGCTAGGATTTATGTTACAGATATCCTTTCTTAAATTATACAGTGATTACACATACACAAACACACACAAAGATGTTTATTATTGTTTGTATAGCAAGAAAATCCCACAACCCAAAACTAAAAACAACCTGTAAGTCTATCATTAAAACACCAACTATATAATTATATATTCATATGTTAGAATTTATATAGCTGATAAAAATAATGAGATATGTAAAAAATTAAATATAGTATGTTCTCATTTGTGTTAAAAATGTGTATATATCCTTACTGACTCTGGTAAGACTAGGAAATTGGGTGTGGAGATGGAAAGAGGAGGCCTTTTACTTATCATTCTTCATCTTATGTTGTTTGACATAAGCACATATTTCTTTTATTTTAAAAACCATTTGAAAAAATGTATATTGTGAGAAGGATTTTTAAAAAAATCTATGAAGAGTCTATAAATTTGTCACATATCAAACCAGAGGTTGTCTTGGCCGCAAAAAGGATGGGGTTTACCTTTCTTGTGCATCAGCACAATTGTCCAGCTTGGGCAACATGGTGAAACCCTGTCTCTACCAAACAATACAAAAATTAGCCAGGTGTAGTGGCGCACCCTGTAGTCCCAGCTCCTTGGGAGGCTGAGGTGGGAGAATCCCTTGAGCCAGGGAGGCAAAGATTGCAGTGAGCCAAGGTCATGCAATTGTAATCCAGCCTGGGCAACAGAGTGAGACCCTGTCTCAAGGAAAAAAAAAAAAAAAAGTGCAGAATTGCTTTCTAGCTCTAAAAATGATCTTTACAGTCAGGCCCAAATCTCCAGTTGGTTTGTATTCTAGAACTTGCCTCAGCATCAGAGCTTGGAATGGCTGGGGGAGTTATTCTCTGGAACCTATCACCAAAGAAGCCAACCCTAACCCAAATGGAAATTGATGATAAATATTTAGTTAGACTGCATGGATCACCTTGATGCACCTAACAAACATTTGCTTTTACTGGTAATATAGGCAGGCAGTCTGCAAAAAAAATATTTTAATGATTAGGGAAAAAGCAACCATTTCTTCTTGCAAATGTATTCTGTGGTTTTGAGGGCAACATATATGTATGGGCTGAAATTAAAATCAGGTGGCATTCCTTCTGCCCATGGCAGCCAGTCCATGATTGGAGGCAGCATGGAAATGTGCTTGACAGGAGGAAGAACTAGTGTTGACTTAAAACTGATTTGAAGAGGCCAGGCGCAGTGGCTCATGCCTGTAATCCCAGCACTTTGGGAGGCCGAGGCAGGCAGATCATGAGGTCAGGAGTTCAAGACCAGCTTGGGCAATATGGTGAAACCCCGTCTCTACTAAAAATACAAAAATTAGCCAGGCATGGTGGCATGTGCCTGTAATCCCAGCTACTCAGGAGGCTAAGGCAGGAGAATCGCTTGAACCCAGGTGGAGGTTGCAGTGAGCCAAGATCGTGCCACCGCACTCCAGCCTGGGCGACAGAGTGTCAAAAAACAAACAAAACTGATTTGAAGATAACCCACGAAGGAGATAGGTTTTTTTGTTTGTTTGTTTTTGAGGAGTTGCTCTTGCAGGCTGGAGTGAGTGGGCGATCCGCTCACTGCAAGCTCCACCCCTGGTTACGCCACCCGCCTCAGCCTCCTGAGAGCTGGACTACAGCGCCCGCCACCGCGCCCGGCTAATTTTTTTTTTAGAGACGGTTCCCGTGTCTCTCCGACCTTGTCCCCGCCTCGCCCCAGCTGATACAGGCTACCACCGCCCCCAGGAATAGTTTATATGGAATAGTAAGAGATAATAACTACGCTTAACCCACAGTCATATACTCCCAGGGCAAGGAAGAAAATCAGCACTGCGAATTTTGATATTGGCCTGATTCTCTGTCTCATGGATATTGTAGAATCCTAAAGCTGGGGCCAGGTATGGTGGCTCACACCTTTAATCCCAGTACTTTGTGAGACCAAGGCAGGCAGATCACTTGAGGCCAGGAGTTCGAGACCACCCTGGCCAACATAGTGAAACTCCGTCTCTACTAAACATACAAAAATTAGCTGGGTGTGGTGGCACACACCTGTAATCCCAGCTACTCGGGAGGCTGGGGCACAAGAATCTCTTGAACCCAAGAGGCAGAGGCTGCAGTGAGCCAAGAACACACCACTACACTCCAGTCTGGGCGACAGAGCAGAGCAGGCTGTCTCAAAAAAAAAAAAAAAAAAAAAAAAGAATCCTAAAGCTGGAAAAGGGACCCACTGGAGTCATTTTTCCTGCAACCCACTAGAGACTGGTGCATGTTTAAACTACTAAAGTAAGCAAAGTTGTTAAGATTGTATTTTAGCAGAATATCCTACCACCTCTTTCATTTTTGAAGCCTCTCAGCAACCTGACTTATTTTTCTCTTCATATTGAAGGATAAACGGAGGAACCTGCAGGAACATGAGCATTCAGCCTTACGGGAGCACATGCGTTTGGTTTTAGAAAAGAACGTCCAATTAGAAGAACAGGTAAATCTTCAAAGTTTCAAATAAAAAGTGAGGCAACAGAATTGCTAGGATTTGCCTGCTCTATGCTGGTATTTTTCTATTCTCCTCTATTTCAGTATGAGTCAATTGGAGGTAGATGTTTTTCTGTTAAGTGGCCAAACAGGCTCACAGGATTATAGAACATTAAAATTGGAAGGTGCTGTTAGGATCCTTGGGTCCCTCCCCCTCATTCAACAGATGAAATAACTGAACTCTGATAAATTTTTATGTGTTTTAATCGTTAAGTAGCAGAATTCAATCTCAAAACTCATGTCCTGTGATTCTAAGATACCATAACTAAGATACCATAACTTCCTCTCAATAGCCTATCTACACACCTTTTGGTTAATACCTGGCACTTAGCAATTTGATGTTTCAGTTACATTAATATTACTGTGAAACAACAGTTGACTATCTATTCTAAGCACTATGGGTTTTATAAATTTTGTGGTAAGTCTAAACTCCTGCCTTTGAGAAGCTTTGCAACCTGATAAATGCATACATCCACACTTATTTCACCGAGTTGTGATTATCAAGTGAAATTTTATGCAAATGCCTGCCATAGTGCCTGTGGCACTCATATTAACCTCAATAAATGCTGATTCTATTGAGCAATTTTTAGGAAAGTTAATTATTTTGTTAGAACATCTCAGAAAATCAGACTTTTCTTTTTTTTTTTCTTTTTTTTTTGAGACGAGTCTTGCTCTGTCACCGAGGCTGGAGTGCAGTGGCGCGATCTCGGCTCACTGCAAGCTCCGCCTCCCGGGTTCACGCCATTCTCCTGCCTCAGCCTCCCGAGTAGCTGGGACTACAGGCGCCCGCCACCACGCCTGGCTAATTTTTTGTATTTTTTAGTAGAGACGGGGTTTCACGTGTTAGCCAGGATGGTCTCGATCTCCTGACCTCGTGATCCACCCGTCTCGGCCTCCCAAAGTGCAATGTCTGATTTTCTATTAAAGTAGGTGGGTGAGTTCCAGGGTCAGATCCTGGAGAAAATTAGGAAGACTGATTAAACAGTAACTTTGGTAGAAGGCATGCTGCCTAGTAACCGTTCCCAAGTTTTTTCTGTATCAGTTGCCTCATTCATCCATCCTTTCATTCAAGAAACACCTACCATATGTCAGGTACAATGTTTGCTGCTAGGGACACTGAGCCAAGGAAGACATAGCCTCTATCCTTGAAGAACTAACATAAATGTAAACAGGTTAATTGTCATGCTTTGTAGGACATGCTGTAACTCAGTCTGGGGTACAGAGGCTGCAGCAATTTATTTTGGGGGAGTTGGAGAAGACTTTCGAAGTAAGACATCCAAGCTGCCTCTTGAAGGAGGAAGGATTCATCAGTTAAAATGTTGTGGAAGAAGGACATCCAAAAGGGAGAGCTTGCACTGAAGCAGGGAGGCATAAGAAATGCTGATGAATCAAGGAAATGGGGTTTTAGGATGAATGGACTTCTGAGTATGAGATAGAGAGAGGCTGCAGACTAGTGTGTTGTATCCAGATTGCAGTGGCCTTCTGTGTAGCCTAAGAAGTTTTGGACACGCGCTTCAATTATCTAGATTTATAAAAAAAAAAAAAAAAAAAAAAAAAAAAAAAAAAAAAAAAAAAAAAAAAAAAAAAAAAAAAAAAAAAAAAAAAAAAAAAAAAAAAAAAAAGAAGTTTTGGACACTGCGCATTCAATTATTTTTTCATTCATTCATTCTCTGCCTTGTTTCAGAAAGGTTTTAAGGACCAGAAGTTTGAACCAATTGTTTTTTTCCAGTAATAGGGAGCTAATGGAGGTTTCTTAATTGGAAAATACTTGGTCAGCTAATTGTTTGTTTATTTGTTTGTTGAGATAGGGTCTGGCCCTGTCACCCAGGCTGGAGTACACTGGTGTGATCTGGACTCTCTGTAATCTCTGCCTCCCAGACTCAAGAAATCCTCCACCTTAGCCTCTTGAGTAGCTGGGACTATAGGTGTGTACCACCACACTCGGCTAATTTTTGTATTTTTTTTTTTTTTTTTTTTTTGTAGAGACAGGGTTTTGCCATGTTGCCCAGGCTGGTCTCATGAGCTCAAGCTATCTGCCTGCCTCAGCCGCCCAAAGCGGTTTGTTTGCTTTTGTTTTTTAAAGCAAGACAGTTGGTAAGAGCATGGCAATTGATAAGAGTGAAGGCTCTGGAGCCAGAATGCCTAGGTTTGCAGCCAGGCTGCACACTAGCCATATGAGTTTGGACAAACTACTTCATTTCTGTCATCCCCCATTTCCTCATTTGTAATTGGGGTTGTGGTGACGGTAAAAAGGGATAATATAGTTAAGCTAGTAGCACAATGCCTAACACATAATAAGTACTTCAATAGTAGGTGGAAGCAGGATACTGGAGGTGGTGGTGGTGATGTTGAAGGCTCAACCAAGGCCATGTCAGCTGGAAAAAGAGAGAGTATCAGGAGACCTTCTGAGGTTGTAAATGACATGCATTAAGCTGAGTAGGGAGGGGACATGGTAATGATATTAAGCGAGATGGGCACTACAAAACTGGAGCAGGTTAGAGGTGAGGGTGCAGAGAGAGACAAGGAGTTTGCTTTTGGCCAGGCAGGTAGGTGGAAGTCAGCTCTAGGGTTCTAAGTAAAGGATTCTAGGGCCAGAGATCAAGTGATTGTCTCAGCCATTTGTGCATTCATTCATAAACTATGTATCAAATGCCCTCTCTGTGCCAGGCACTGTCCTAGGCTCTAAGGATAAACAAATAAATGAGATGTAGTCTCAAGAAACAATTTAGTGGGGAGGAAGACCAAAACAACAACAACAAAAAGCAAGTTATAAGCGTGACAATGATGATTTATACACTAGAATATGGACAGGGTATCATGGAACTTGAGAGGTGGTCTTGGTGGGTGGTGCAAGTAAGGAAATATTTCCAAGAGGATGTACCCGTGAGTGGAGGCTTAGAAAGTGGTAGTTTTTAGATGAAGAGAGAGGTGTATGAGACAGCAGGGCCTGACGGGAAATAGGAGTTGTGTGGTCTTGCTGGGCAGGATGCATGTGGAATGTGAATGGGCTTGAGGCTGAAAGTGTAGCCAGGGGCAGGTCACGTAGGGCCCAGTGTCACCTGTAAAAGCAAGCCACTAGAGACGTTTATGCAGGGAAGGCTCAAGACCAGATTTTTATCTTAATATTATTCTGGTCACAGTAAGGAATACAAATGGAAGGAGAACAAGACTAAAGCCAGGGAGAGCATTCATGTTGTTCATTCATTTAATAAATATTTATCAAGCACCTACTGGTGACAGGCAACAGTCCAGTTGCTGGGGTCATAGTGGACTGTGAGGTTCATGCCAGTCCCGGCTCTCACGGAGCTTATGTTCTGGTGTGTGTTGTGGGTAGAATGGGTAGAGCAGGACCAGTTAGAAAGCTGCTGTTGCAGCCCAAGGGAGAAATAATGAAGACTGAAACTAGTGCTGAAATGAGAAATGGATGTAAGTCTTTTTGTTTCTATTGTCGTGTTAAAAATTAAAATTGGCAACTGTTGCAGATTGAATGGATATGGGAATAAGAGAAGAGCTGTCTAGGATCAGCTTTAGGTATCTAATTGTTTCCTTCAAGTAGATTATAAAATCTGTCAATATGCTACCTACACATTTTGCCTATCCCTTGCTGGTTTGTATGCTGGATGGGTTACTTAAACTCTCTACCTCTGTTTCCTCATCTGAAAAATGAGTCTAATATTCGTGCAACTCATAGGGTTCTTTGAGGCATACAAGAGCTAATGAATATTAGGGTATGATAGTCAGCAAGTTTTTGCCATTATTACTATTGATACTGCACATGTAACATTTAATGTGGTATGGTGATCAGTACTCTTTCGTGGTAGTTTTATTTTGTTTTAAGAGACAAGGTGTCACTATGTTGCCCAGGCTGGACTCAATCTCCTGGGCTCAAGTGATCCTCCCCCATCAGCCTCCCAGGTACCTGGGATTACAGGTGCCTGGCTTTTGTGGTTGCTTAATAAGTCCATGTTGAATGAATAAAGAGAACCAGTTCAGTAAATTCAGTCAAGTGATGTCTGTCATTAGATGAACCATCATAGTAGGTTAGGTATAGAAAAGGCTGATGAGAAATTCTGTAGATGTGGCTTTTTGGAACCACCTGTAAATATCTTCCTATAATTATATAGGAATCTACCTGTAAATATTTTCCTAGAAATAAATATGTACATTTTTTCCTAGAAACACTTTCTTACCTGCAAGTACGATTTTAACTTATATGCATGCAGTTATATTCAATGACTTTATTTTTCCTCACATCCCTGTTATTAGATTTCTGATTTACATAAGAGCCTAGAACAGAAAGAAAGTAAAATCCAGCAGCTAGCAGAAACTATAAAGAAACTTGAAAAGGAGTTCAAGCAGTTTGCACAGTTGTTTGGCAAAAATGGAAGCTTCCTCCCAAACATCCAGGTAAGAAATGGCCTTTCTGTTGAAAGCCAAGATTTGGCTTTCAATTGCAGTGAGGGTTTTTCTTTTAACTTTTTAAATAGAAATAATTTAAAATATACAGAAAAGCTGTAAGAATAAGATGGTGCAAAGAACACTTGTATAACCTCCACCCAGATTCACTCATGGTCAACGTTGTGTCCCGTTTGCTTCATCATTCATGCTCCTCTCCACTCTTCCTCCCCCAGCGTGTGTTTGTGTGTATGTGTGTGTGGGCATGTGTGCATGTGCGTGCACATACTCTTTCTAAACCATTTGCAAGTATGCTGCATATTTTATGGCCCTTTACCTCTACATGTTAATACTTCAGTATGTATTTCCTAAGAATAAAGATCTTCTTTTACACAACCCCAGTACGTTTTGCAATATCAGTAACTTTGATACAATACTTCTATATAATTTATAGCAATTAGGGTTTTAATTAATGTTGGGCCAGTATTAATCACTTGATTGCAGATTCACTGAGAGCATCTGTAGTTCTGCATTTTGTAGTCAACAAGTGAAACTATTAATTTCCTTGGGAAGAAAATGCTTTAAACATCACTAAAATATAGCAGAAATAGTACTTTGTAAATTATGAACGTTAAATAACCATAAATGAATTCTGATGAATAATGTCTTTATCATGATTATAAAATTTATAGTGAAAAAGATTTCAAGACATGTGGTATAGGCAATATATTTGAAATTTAGGTTATCCCAGAAAATCTAGGCCCTATAATTTCCATACTTAGCCAGCACATTATACATTAAACACACACACACACACCCCTCATATACATACAATGTATATGTATGTGAAATATGTATAATGTGTATATGCATATGTGTATATACATATATATGTACAGATGCTCCTCGACTTACAATGTAGTTATGTCTTGATAAACCCATTAAGTTGAAAATATTGTAAGTCAAAAATGTGTTTGATACACCTAACCTATTAAACATCATAACCTAGCCTAACATACCTTAAATGTGCTCAGAACACTTAAATTAGCCTACAGTTGGGCAGTCATCTAACACAAAGCCTATTTTATAATAAAGTATTGAATTCCTCATGTAATTTATCAAATTCTGAAAGTGAAAAACAAAATGGGTACTTTGAGTAGCCATATCTTATACACACACAGGGAAAGGGAGGAGTAATTTTATTTAGTCTCTTCCACCTGAGAGAGCAGTCAAAAGTTTAGGCCTTACTCAGGGCCTTCTGTACCACCCATAGAGCTCAGGCCAGAACAGGTGCGCCTATTCCATCTAATTCTCCACCTTCTAGCAAAGCAGGTGTGAATCAGGAGATTGGCTTCTAAAAAGAGGAAAAAGTGTAGGGCAAGAGGAGAGACAACATGAAAATAAATATATAAAGATGGGTTGGAGAACCAAGCAGAGGAAAACAGAGGGAGGATAAAAATTCGGTAAAGAAAAGTTCAAACATTTGGAACAGGAGCTGTGGTAGGAGAGGAGGAGGAGGAAGATAATTAGGTGGCTCATCTCTCTGTGATCCTCACTGAATTTTATTTTCTGGGCTTGTATTTTTCATTCTGTTAATTGATTAAATGTGATATGTTTGAATTGAAAAAAATGCTAATCTCAATGAATTGCTAAAATATTAACTAATTTTTTAAACATGATTATCCATTTTGTAATGAAAGGTTTTTGCCAGTCACATTGACAAGTCAGCTTGGCTAGAAGCTCAAGTGCATCAATTATTACAAATGGTTAACCAGCAACAAAATAAATTTGACCTGAGGCCTTTGATGGAAGCAGTTGATACAGTGAAACAGAAAATTACCCTGCTAGAAAACAATGATCAAAGATTAGGTATGTCTGATATTTTATTTCTCTTTTGGTGACTCATTTGTCTGCATGTGTTCATGAAACAACCAAACACCTGGCCAAATAGAGAGTCACATCTGTCCAGGATAAACAATGGCTAAATCTGCTATTTGTGAAAGCATCATGAGATTCTGGCCACTCAGGCAAAAATGAGGGAGGGCCACAAGTGGGGTTGGGGGACTGGGCTAGGAGATTCCAAGACTGGAAACAGGTCAGCAAATTCCAAGAACAGGGATTGATGACTTTCAAGAAGAGTGGAAAATAATGAGAAACCTCAGGGAGAGATGTGGTGGGATCATTGTTTTAGGTATGGGAAAATATTAAAGGGTTTGGCTATTTAAAAGCATTCTAGTCAGAAAAGTGTGGGGCTCAGCATGCTGACTCACGCTAGTTGAATGCTCAGTGTGTCTTCTCTACACTTCAGTGAGTTTAAGATACACATCCAGGTTTCCTTGGAGGCAGTGTGCCAAAACATGATATTCCCTGAGTTAATATTATTACAACAAATGAATTCGGCTCATCTTTAGGATGTCAGGATTTTGCTGATACTCTTTCAGGTAACAAAATTCCACTTCGGGAAAATTTTAAAGATAACTTTCAGGCCTATGGAATCTTTTTTTTTCTTATTTGCAGCTGTTTTAGAAGAGGAAACTAACAAACATGATACCCACATTAATATTCATAAAGCACAGCTGAATAAAAATGAAGAGCGATTTAAACTGCTGGAGGGTACTTGCTATAATGGAAAGCTCATTTGGAAGGTGACAGATTACAAGATGAAGAAGAGGGAGGCAGTGGATGGGCACACAGTGTCCATCTTCAGCCAGTCCTTCTACACCGGCCGCTGTGGCTACCGGCTCTGTGCTAGAGCATACCTGAATGGGGATGGGTCAGGGAAGGGGACACACCTGTCCCTATACTTTGTGGTCATGCGAGGAGAGTTTGACTCACTGTTGCAGTGGCCATTCAGGCAGAGGGTGACACTGATGCTTCTGGACCAGAGTGGCAAAAAGAACATTATGGAGACCTTCAAGCCTGACCCCAATAGCAGCAGCTTTAAAAGACCTGATGGGGAGATGAACATTGCCTCTGGCTGTCCCCGCTTTGTGGCTCATTCTGTTTTGGAGAATGCCAAGAACGCCTACATTAAAGATGACACTCTGTTCTTGAAAGTGGCCGTGGACTTAACTGACCTGGAGGATCTCTAATCACTGTTTATGGGGTGATAAGAGGACTTTTTGGGGCCAGAACCGTGGAGTAGAGCACATTTGATTATCATATTGACCTGGATTTAGACTCAAAGCACATTTGTATTTGCCTTTTTCCTTAACGTTTGAAGTCAGTTTAAAACTTCTGAAGTGCTGTCTTTTTACATTTTACTCTGTCCTAGTTTGAAACTTAAAACTGTTAGAATATTCTCTTATTATGCGGCCGGGCGCGGTGGCTTAAGCCTGTAATCCCAGCACTTTGGGAGGCCGAGTCGGGCGGATCACGAGGTCAGGAGATCGAGAACATCCTGGCTAACACGGTGAAACCCCGTCTCTACTAAAAATACAAAAAACTAGCGGGGCGAGGTGGCGGGCGCCTGTAGTCCCAGCTACTCAGGAGGCTGAGGCAGGAGAATGGCGTAAACCCGGGGGGCGGAGCTTGCAGTGAGCTGAGATCCGGCCACTGCACTCCAGCCTGGGCGACAGAGCGAGACTCCGTCTCAAAAAAAAAAAAAAAAAAATTCTCTTATTATTTATATTTTTGTATTTCTTGAAAGATGGTAAGTTTCTTGAAGTTTCCGGGGCGTTTTTCTTTTACTGGTGCTTAGCGCAGTGTCTCAGGCACTCTAAATATTGAATGTTACGGAGGACCTAGAGGTAGCAGAATTCCCAGTTGAAAATGTTTTGATATTTTATTGTTTGGCCTATTGATTCTAGACCTGGCCTTAAGTCTGCAAAAACCATCTTTATAAGGTAGGCTGTTCCAGTTAAGTAGTGGGTGATGTAGTTACAAAGATAATACGCTCAGTTTGGATCTTTTTTTTTCAGTTAAATGCTAAATATGTGAAAATTACTATACCTCTAAGTATTTTCATGAAATTCACCAGCAGTTTGCAGGTACTGTTTTGCAAGGCTGCATAAGAACTGGTGAATGGGGTAAGCATTTTCATTCTTCCTGATGAAGTAAAGCAGAAAGTACTGCATAGTAATATGTAAGATATAGCTAGCCAGCTAAAATTCAGATTTCATTAGGTTCAACCCTATGAAAAAAACTATTTTCATAGGTCAAAAATGGTAAAAACTTAGCAGTTTCATAAGATTCAACCAAATAAATATATATACACACACACATACATATACACCTATATATGTGTGTATACAAACAGTTTGAGTGTATTTTGGTAACAGTAGTAAATCAATGTGAGGATGGATAGAATTTAGTATATAATAGAGAAAATGTCATAAATGGATAAAAGGATACAACTTGAGGAGAAAACCTTTATAATTTCCTATGGGTGTCAGAAGTACTCTCAGCGAAAATGGATGGCTAAAACAGTATCTACTATTCTCTGATAACTTTTTTTTTTTTTTTGAGACAGAATCTTGTTGTCACCCAGGCTGGATGGAGTGCAGTGACGTGATCTCAGCTCACTGCAACCTCCGCCTCCTGGGTTCAAGTGATTCTCCTGCCTCAGCCTCCTGAGTAGCTGGGATTACAGGCAACCGTCACCACACCTGGCTAATTTTTGTATTTTTAGTAGAGACGGAGTTTTGCCATGTTGGCCAAGCTGGTCTCCAACTCCTGACCTCAAGCGATCTGCCCGCCTTGGCCTCCCAAAGTGCTGAAATTATAGGCATGACCCACTGCGCCAAGCCTCTGACAACGTTTGAATTTGTAAGCTGCTATGCAAGTGGGCATTTATATAAACTTGTAATGTTTCTTGTCAGAATTCTGAGTACTTTGTGAAGAACAGAAATGATCATGTTCTTATGCATCTATCTGTATGGGTCTGAAGGTGTATATACAAATTGAGATGAGTCTTTATGACTCTTGATAAGCCTAAGTTTAACAACAACAACAAAAATGCCAAGTTGTCCTGAGCCCTCCTGCATTGTTATGCCACTTCTCTACTGCTCATATGCAGGCTGGCTCCCCTGGGCACACAAAGATGAGTATGGGCCATGGGCCCCTGTAGAGCTGCTCACCTGGTGATGACCATGCACCTTACAATTTCTGAGCAGTTAACCCTATAGAAGCATGCTTTATATGAGTGTCTTCTGGGAAGAGGAACCTTCTTAATCTCTTCTGTGGGATTTTCAAATGCTAAAGACTCACACTGCAGCAATTATCCCAGATGATTAAATTCAAAGAAATATGTTCACAACAGGAATATACTAAAGAACTAGAGCGTCGCTGCTGGTGAACTGTGGCATAGCTGATGCTCAACACATCACCTCGGACAAATTCAGGAAGCATTTCTCTAGCCCACAAGGCCAGACCCAGGTGCTCTGTGTGTTTGTTTTTAATGTTCTTCATCATACCCAAGTTCACTCTCTCTTCCTGAGCAGTGGACGATCGTATTGCTGTAACTTCTTTTGAGTAGTTGATGTGGAAAACATTTTAAAGTGAATTTGTCAAAATGCTGGTTTTGTGTTTTATCCAACTTTTGTGCATATATATATAAAGTATGTCATGGCATGGTTTGCTTAGGAGTTCAGAGTTCCTTCATCATTGAAATAGTGATTAAGTGATCCCAGAACAAGGAGTTCTAGTGTAAAAAGCACCCCTTTTTCACAAAACAAGAGTTGCGATTTTGCTTTGAAACAAGGTGGATCTATGTAAACTATTTTTCCTTTTTTATGAACGGAACAGTAATTTTTCTTCTGTATCAATAAGATTTAAATTTTTATTTCCATTTTGGGTTAATTTTGGTTCCTGATGAAAAGATAACAATACACTAAGCATAAAGGGGAAGTTAATATCCTTGAGAAAGTTACAGAAGGATTGTAGTGGGGGTGTGTGTGTTAATAATGCTTATTAACAAGTCTAAAATCTGACCCCTGATTTCCACATTTGGTATTTTCAGAGAAAACAAGAGACAGTCACAGCCAGGATCAATTCACAGTGCCAGTCCTGAATACAATAGGACAGTGAGGTACAAACCCTTTGTGTGGTCCCTGGATAATCAGTCCACACTACTGACTTATCTCTTTTCTCTTAGAAAGCAGTTGGAGATATATGTCTCAATCTTATATAAGAATTCTGAGCTGGAGATAAAGGTTTGATGGAGGCACAGTAGGGGTCCCAGGTGGTGAAATCACACAGGAATAACACATTCTATGGGAAGAGGAAGAAGAACCTGTAAAGCATTTGGAGAAGGAATGATCCAGAGGTAAGAAAAACACCAAGGAAGGTGGGAAGAGAAAAGAATGTCAACAGGGCCAAATGCCAGCTTGGGAAGAGCAGCCACTCCCAGAGCACTCCCACAGCCCTTGTGAACTCACTGTCACCCCCATGCTGCTCTCTCCTCAAGTCTGTATCTCTGACCCTGGCCTTTGCCATAAGCTGATCCGAGTACCTGCTGAACATCTAAATTCAGGAGTCCCATAGGGACTTTAAGGACCACTTCACCATACAGAACTGGAAATCTTCCCACCCTCCCCACCACTGCCAACCTATTACTCCATTTTTTCTATCTAAGTGACATCATTGTCCAAGCCAAAAGTTTGGACACTATTCTGGATTCCTCCCTCATCTTCCCTGTCCAGTAACCCACACTGCACTGCGAATTTGACCTCCAAATAATTTCTTTAGAGGTATTCCCACTACTTACCCTTCCTCAGTACTACTGTCTTGTTTCAGGCCTACATTATTTTTTAAATCACAACTGTTCTCCCTATTTTGAGTTGTGCCTCTTTGGAGATTGACACTGTGACAGTCTCCACAGTGTCACCTAATGATCCATCTCAAAGAAAATCTGAGAATGACTCCCACCCCACCCACACTGTGGCTTCATAGCCCATAGGAAAAAGCCCAGCCTCCATGGAGTGCCATACAAGGCCCTCCATGCCCACTTCTACCCTTCCAGCCTCACCTCCTGACATTTCTACCTTGCATTTAGCAACACCAACCCAAGCTATCTGATACTTGTCTGAGCTTATACTATATGTCTATCTGGAATACTCTTTTTTTGAGATAGGGTCTTACTCTGTCACCCAGGCTGTAGTCCAGTGGCGCAATTATAGCTCACTGCAGCCTTGACCTCCCTGGGTTCAGGTGATCCTCCCACCTCTGCCTCCCAAGTAGATGGAACTACAAGCACGCAACACCAGGCCCGGCTAATTTTTTTGTATTTTCTGTAGAGATGGGGTTTCACCCTGTTCCCCAGGCTGGTCTCGAACTTCTGGACTCCAGTGATCTGCCCACCTCAGCCTCCCAAAGAGTTGTGATTACAGGCGTGAGCCACCATGCCTGGCCTGGAATACTCTTCTCTATCCTTACCTTCTTTGCCTGGATAATTCTTGCCCTTTAAGATTCTGCTTTGGCCTCACCTCCTCTGGGATGCCTTCCTAAACTATCCTTTAATCTGTAACCCTACTCCCACACTTCACCCTTAGTAACTGCCCATCGGGTTCATTTTGCCTACTGCCCAGATAGAGCTGATTTATCAAGACAAAGGAATTGTAACAGAGAAAGAGTTTAATTCACACAGCTGGTTGTACAGGAGACCGCAGTTTTATTATTGCTCAAATCAGTCTCCCTGAAAATTCGGAAACTGGGGTTTTTAAGGATAATCTCATGGGGATGGGGGCAGGTAGTGGGGAGTGCTGACTGGTCCCCCGGGAAATGGGAAGTCAAAGCTGTCCTCTTGTGCTGAGTCAGTTCCGGAGTGGAAGCCACGAGACCATCAATCTGGGTGGGAGCAGCTGATCCATCCAGTGCAGGGTCTGAAAATACCTTGAGCACCAATCCTAGGTTTTATAATAGTGATGTTATCCCTAGGAGCAACTGGGGAGGCTTAGAATCTTGTGGCCTCTAGCTGCATGACTCCTAAACCATAATTTCTAATCCTGTGGCTAATTTGTTAGTCCTAGAAAGTCTGGTCCCCAGACAGGAAGGGGGTTTGTTTTGGGATGGGACTGTTGTGATCTTTGTTTCAAAGTAAAACTGTAAGTTCCTCCCAAAGTTAGTTCTGCCTACACTCAGGAATGCACAAGAACAGCTTGGGAGTTAGAAGTGAGATAGAGTTGGCTAGGTTAGATCTCTTTCACTGTCATAATTGGCTGTCATAATTTTCTGCAAAGGCGGTTTCACCTTCACTATATCAAAAGTCCTTGCTCTGTGCTGTATACTGCCTTGCCCATAACTCGATT